CCTTCCTAAATATGTCATGAACACAAGTTTTAGGGATTTCATTCTCTGAGGAGGAACGTCTAACTGATTTCTCTGGACTGTTAGAGAGCATTTCTCGAAGTGTACTCAAATTTTCATAGCTCCGACTTGACCTCGGCCGACCTGCTTTTGGAGCATCTGCTACTGATCCTTGTCGCTCGAATTTACATATAATCTTATAGACATGTTTTCTGCTTACATTACAATTCTTAAAATATGATCTAAACTCACAGGCGCCTGAAGTGTGGATCGATAGCCCCCCCCCCTTTTAATTAAAAAAAAAAATGTAGGAGCTTATAATTTCTCAATGATATAAAATTTCCCCATCAATCACATCCATATGTCGTTCTATGCAAGCTGATTGTACCTTTTCTTACGTTTAGAAATGGCCTTGTACGGTATAATAAAAATACACAAGGTAAGAAACAAAATTTGTAAACAAACGGGGGGTTCCCTGCTTCGAGACATATTTCCAAGGTAATATCAGTGTTACCTATCATAATTTTGCAAGCACTCTGTCTAAGAAATGTTCTTCTACTAAAGTCGTTAACCTAACAGCTTTGAAGGAGGTTTTGGAGTTCGCACATCCGTCTCGCTTTACCTGATTGGTCAAAGATTTAAACTGTATCACTGTTAACCAATCAGATAAAGCGAGACGGATGTGCGAACTCCAAAACCTCCTTTAAAGCTGTCAATGGAGAAAATGTTATGTGTCCGATTAATAGATCGTCCGATTACGACATATATAAAACACTAATGATGGGGTTTAGGTTAACGACTTTAGTAGAAGAACATTTCTTTGACAGAGTGCTTGCAAAATTATGATAGGTAATATTGATATTGCCTTGGAAATATGTCTCGAAGCAAGGAACCCCCCGTTTGTTTACAAAGGACAAGATAGGCTAAGACCCCTTTTTGGCCCCTGGTTTAGGGTGTCTTTTAGAATGATGCAACAGTTAATCAACGAAAGCCTGTTGTCACCCCTGCCACATAATGAGTATCGGTTCTAAGTTACGGGATACACAGAGGTCACAGGAAGGTCAGAAAATATGTCAGTTTTCGAATTTTCCCATTTTTATGCAAATTTTCATCCATTTTACAGCACATTTTGTTTCAAAAAACATAGAGCACAAGCTTGCCTATCTACCAAATTTATTTCATACACTAGCATCAGATGCATCGTGTGTATAAAAATCTCAGATAGGCAAGCTTGTGGTCTATGTTTCCCGAAGTGAAAACTATCTCAAATTTGATGAAATTCCACCCGAATTGAGGAAATTCGGAAATATATCCTACTTCTGCACCCTCTTGTGGCCTCCGTGTAAGCTTTGAATCAAAATTAGTTCTGGTTTTAAAACAAGCATCATTTTAAGTTCTTAACTACAAACTATCACAGTTTTAACTGTGTTCTGAATTTTTACATCAAATAAGGGGCCAGATTCGGCCGTTATCATACCTTGTCCTTTGTTTCTTACCTTGTGTATTTTTATTATACCGAACAAGGACATTCTCTAAACGTAAGAAAAGGTATAATCTGCTTGCATAGAACGACATATGGATGTGATTGATGGGGAAATTTTATATCATTGAGAAGTTATAAGCTCCTACATTTTTTTTTAATTAAAAGGGGGGGGGGGGCTATCGATCCACACTTCAGGCGCCTGTGCTAAACTTTCGCTTAACGTCTGTTACACATTTCGTTTCATAAAATTGTTTGACGATAAAAATCCGCTGTTCTGACGTGAGTCGCGCCATATTGAAATAAAGTTTAATTTGTTATAGTGTCAAAACGTCATAAGTTTTGGCGCATTATTTTTTCAAATAGTAAAAACTTTCGCTTGAGACCTTTCGAATGATATCAGTTTCATAGAATTAACACCGGATTTAGCGAAGTTATCAAAATGTTAAAGTGTTACCTTTCTTTTCGGACACCCTGTACTTTATACATTGTATCACTTAACTCCTCTTATAAAACATTAATAAATGTAATTTAATTACGAAATATACAATAAGAAATGCAAACAAATAATTTTAAAAAATGATCGAGTTATCCTCCTTGCGACGTTTAATGCATACGGTTTTGAAGGGGCTGACGTGAGTGTCTTCTTTTCGATGTTGTAATTTTAAATATGTATCACCTGCATAATTTGCAGTTATCTATAAGGCAAAATTAGATGTCTTTTTTGGTGTATATAAAGTGATAAATCAACATTAGGAATACGTAATTAATTCTCTTAAGAGATGACCCCTCATCGTAAACAAAAATAGAATTATAAAAAATTTATCGATCGTATGGACTCTCAGTATGAGGTGACAAACTTGTCACACCACACTGTATAACAGTGACATATGGAATCTCAGTAAGCGGTGATAAACTTGTCACACAACACTGTGGAACAATAATGTATATATGGACTCTTAGTAAGCGGTGATAAACTTGTCACACTACACTGTGGAACAGTGATGTATGGACTCTCAGTAAGCGGTGACAAACTTGTCACACTACACTGTGGAACAGTGATGTATGGACCCCCAGTAAGCGGTGACAAACTTGTCACACTACACTGTGGAACAGTGATGTATGGACTCTCAGTAAGCGGTGATAAACTTGTCACACAACACTGTGGAACAATAATGTATATATGGACTCTTAGTATAAGCGGTGATAAACTTGTCACACAACACTGTGGAACAGTGATGTATGGACTCTTAGTAAGCGGTGATAAACTTGTCACACTACACTGTGGAACAGTGATGTATGGACCCCCAGTAAGCGGTGATAAACTTGTCACACTACACTGTGAAACAGTGATGTATGGACTCCCAGTATCATACATGCAGCTTTAAAATAAAGTGTTATGAGTTCATATACATGTAATACATATACTAGTAATTGATGCCCTCCATCTCAAAATTCAGAAGACACAAGATTAATCAACCTACCGAGTATTTTTGAAAAGTAGGTCAAGGGTGAAGATCAAGTTTACTGTAACGCTGGTATTTTTCATGTCTTATGACAAACAGTGCACATGCTAAATAGCACAAACTTACCTCTCAAATGCCCCAAAATATGCTGTATATCGCCATTATGAACAACTAGAATTTTGTAAAGTAGGTCAAAGGTCAAGTTGAAAGTTCCCAGGTCGGTAACCATTTTTCAAAAGCCATGTAGTGTCAAGAAATATATGAGCAAAATATCAAATCCATACCTCTTACAGTTCTCAACATATAAGGTGTGAAAGAGGGCAGACAGACCCTGGGGTAAAGTGATCGCTAATAGCCGCTCTGCTCTGCAGGCGCCACTATAAAGGCCTATCAATTGGTATGAAATATGTCAGTCAAAATACGACCTTATGACAGGTTATATTTGCTATTAAGGTCATTACAACGACCATAGAATTTACGAAATGCTGACATTAAACAAGGTTGTTGAAATCCCTGTAACATCAACTTATCTGTCAGTAGCCTGCCTCAGTTTTAAAAATTGATCATAAAAATTGAAACCCGGCCTTCCTTCCAGAAAACATACAGCTATACGAAACAACTTGCCATCATCTCTAATGGCCTGCAACTCCATAAAATGCTTCAGGAACGATCAAGCTGTAATTGCATAAAAAGCATCACAGGTATTTTACCATTTGGTTTTTATCTTCTGTAAATATATATTGATGGTTTGGACACACCATAGTTCGGAAATACATCAGAAGGAACTTAACGGAAAGCAAGTCAAGAACATTAACTCTCGCAACCCTAATTGCTTTTAAGATTCTCTCACATATTGCTTTTCAAAAAAAATTTTTTTTAATATATATAAGTAGATTTAAACCCGATATATAGATTTTGTGTCTTTAAATTAAATCATTTATATACTTTGAAAATATTGTTACTATAAAAATGGATGCAAGGATTGGTACATATTTTTTGATTTTGTTGTTGTTGTTGTAAACGATGCCAATATCAAATTCTTACAATATAAAAATTTTTAAATTTTCTATACGATGTTCAAAATCGACAATTCTTGCCATTCCCCTTATAAATCAATTACTTATGGACACTACTGAGAAATTTTGATTAAAAATTAAACTTTATGTGATTTTAAATTCTATAAACTGACATTTAGTATCTATTTTCGTGATTTTGAAGAAGAAGAAAAAATATTTTATTTGTAGCGAGTGGCCTTAAATTTGGAAGTTCCTTCAGCGGCCACTATGACTACCGCAGATCTACACATGAATATTGCGTAACAGGAAAGACACAACCCAAGTTCTTATTAGCCCCTGGCAGGACTTTCCCCTGCAAGTCGGGGGGTGGGGGGTATCAACGGCACCAACTCTATAACAGGAAAGGAGAAAATGTATGGCTGGACCAGGAATCGAATCCGGGACCCATGCATCACTAGTAAGGTGCTCTACCTACTGAGCTATCCAAGGCCGACATCCCCAGCCCAAACCATCACATTTATTAAATTTTTCTATGCATTTAATTGATGGATACTATACAAACAAGCCCTTAGCAACGGGGGGGGGCAACTTCGGAAAAAATCTGACAAGCAAAAAAAGGAAAAAAAAAAAGGAAAAAAATATATAAACTGATTAAAAAGTAAGGGGGCCAAGTGTTCAAAATAATCTGACAAGCAAAAAAAAAAAAAAAGTAATTAACCGTCCAAATCTTTGAACTTGCCAGTGCTCGACCTTATTGCAACAAAAAAGTAGGGGGGGGGGGAGGCAGCCAGGATATGAAGGAAAAATTACTATAGCAAAAATACTATACTTAGAAAAAGTGGGGGCCGCCCCATGCCCCCCCCCCCCCCCCCCGTTCTACGGGCCTGACAATTAAACCCAAAGATAGACTTATGAAACCAACGGTTTTAAATCTAAGTACGGGGTTGTGGTAAAAATGTTAAACCCACATCTTTTATCTGATAAGTCCTACAACATGCTTCCTCGCATAACAAAGTAGACCGCCTCCTTAAATGTTTACCTGGCTGTTCCCACTAGATGTCTTACGCCCCACAAAAAACAATACTCCGATTACCATTGTTTCGCTTCCTCAATGATCGATCATCATTGTAATTAACGGACAGCATCTACCTGACCACATGGTTGTGTTATAGAATATTTTAGGTCGTGTCATCAGCGCGGGAAAATGATTTCATGACAGAACATTGATTTTGCTTCCTCCCGAGGGCGCTTCATACAACAGCGGTTAACAGTTCCTAAACATTTTATTTGAATATGGCGAAACTGTCCAGGTACGTGTTTTCGGAGGTGTAGTGTGACAATCATTTCTGTGGATTTTCAGTGTGTGTGAAAATGTGAATTTTCTAAGATTGTCATGGTTTTATCATGCCTTTGGGAGAACGAATTGTTACACCTGTGAATTTGGGGAGATCCCCCATAAAAATTGACCATGGGGACAAGAGAAATCTGCAACATGCAGTGACATCGAACGCCCTCGTGGGGATCCTTCATCAGCTGGCCAGTGTGGTCCGATTAGCAGACGACATCTTCTGTGATATTTCAGAGGAATGCCAAAAAGTGTTCGAAAAGTCGGAACGTATTAGCAGAAAAATTACATTTGTGGAACAGTTTGTCAAAGACCTTGATGCCAAATCGGTTACTATACGTAAGTTTCTACGAAGTACTATTTTTGAAACGGGATTTCCTGAAATTTATTAGCTCTCTGAATTAATTTTAAGTTGGTCAAAATTCAAAAAAACTTTACTAGAGGCGGAAATTTTAGTAGAGCCTGAATTGGTTTCTCATTAGGGGATAGCTCGTAAAACAATTAGCATCTGATTGATTAACTTCCTACAGAACTATCAGAAGTCAGGGAGAGGGATAATACACAAAAGGTATATCAGTGATTTAGATAAGGTGATAGGCTAGGACAGAATACACACTCCAAATACAGGAGAAAAATGTCCAGTCTGATGAGAAAACATGAATCATTGACAACATACACCAGGTAACAAAAGCTGGTCCTTCAGAGCGGCCTGTCATAACTTTCCTGTTTTTATCAGAAAAGATATAGCAGAGTAAATATTGATTTGAGTTTTAAAGCAGGGTTTATTAGTAATTTATGGTTATTCTGAATTCAAGATGATTGACGTGGAGAAATATTGCCGTGGAGAGGAATGGACTCTCCCCCATCTGTGATTATTAATACCCTATATGGCATTTTGGCATAAATTCCTTTAAGAAATTCTGAGAGGAAATTGTATGGGTTTCCCTCATTTGTTAAATTTGAGGTTCTCCCCAGGTTGTACATTTCTAATGCCCCTATTGGCTTACCACAAACTTTGTCCAAACAAAAAATACAAAAGTTCCTTTTGTTGAAGCACCTGCCATTAATGACTTTTGAAAATTGCACACCTGTGGTTATTTCACCAAATATCAACATTTGCTGTCATTGAGAGTTAGTTTACGGACATATGAGCTATTTTGATACGTAATAATATAGAAAGTTGCTGATTATGATATTACTTTTTCCCTTTGATGCAGTCATTGAGGACAGGTGTTGCATATGGGTCAAGTATCCAATCACTGACCCTGTTACATTGGCCTATGTTAACCACAATCATTGCCCTCTTTATTACTGGACTACAAAAACAATTGGATCAAGACCACCCAGTTTATATTGGTATTCTTGGTAATTTGTATTAAATGTAAAAGCAATCAAATAAAATAGTCCGGACAAAAGTTTTGTGATAGAGCTTGCTCTCTGTTCAGCAAAATAAGGAACGAAACATTGAATGAGAATTAAAACTTAAGATTGGATCTGGTTTGAGAAGCATTAGATTTTGAGATATTAAAGAAGTGGTGACTAATTTGGCCTTGATCTCCAAAAGTTATCAGATTTATTTCAAAGTGTGCAGTGATTATAATCAATAGAATGCATGTTGAATCAAGAATTCTTTTTTCCGGCCCCGAGTATGGTACGTTATATTCTATGAAGCAGACTAATTTTAAAAAAATTTAAAGATATGCATTGTAATTGATATTTTTGAGTTAAAATTTGATTTAAAAAAACACATCTTTGTAAATTATTAATTCGGCCTGCTACATCTACCCAAGTAATATATATATACTGTGTAGGATTGTAATGTTTATGTCATTACAAATGAACTAGGTCTGCTCTAGAGTTGCGGAACAAGGAGTGATCCTTACATCGCTGCTTCAAATCCCACTGTGGGACGTGGAGACCAGACCTTCTTGGAGGAGACTGTATAAACCGATGTCCCGTGTCCCAGTAGATGCTGGCAATTGAAAAAGGATCCCTCACTGCTCAATAGCCTTGAGTTCCGAGCATAGGTCAAAATTTGCAGCTCTCCACTGGCAAGTGGTGGCGTTTCCATATGATTGAAAAATTCTTGAGAGGGACGTTAAACAACAAACAAAAACAAACAAATGATATATGAGAGAGTCTAAGATGAAAATCTTTCTTTCAAATACTGTAGAGTCCAGTGATGGGCAGTTGGAATTGTTTTTCATAAGCGATTAATTACCAGGTATTTATTATTGGAATAATAGGACTTGCTATAATCAATTAATAATCAATTGATTTTAGGTTTTAAATTTTTTTCATTTTTGAATAAAGAATAAATTGGTAAAAAATTCTGGATTGATTTCTAAAATGCATTTTTGATGTATTTTTTGTATCATTGGATTTATTTATTAAATTATTACTTAGGATTTAGTTACATTCAAAGAAGAATGAATTGTATTAAATCCTAGGAACAATTTGTTTTTATCTAATATTTTGATTAATCGCGATTATCAGAATTATAATCGATTATCTATAATCAGGGGTCATTTCAATGAGATAATCAATTTAATAGATTAATCGGTACTTCACTACTGTATCTAGACATTTTTTTTTTTTTTATTAATTTATGCTTGTACACAGTCACAAATTTTCTGCAGAAATCTGTTTCAGCCTACTTTATTTTAAAAGTTAATAAACATTTAAAAGATAAACTGTTTAATATTTTCCTACTCGCTGATTGAACGTAAATTGTGAAAAAGTACATTTTGACAAAGGAACAAGCTTTCAAAGATTTCCTAAGTTAACTTCTGCACTATATAAAACTATATACACTGTATTAATGATCTATTATATGGGATTTATATAATTATCTTGAAAGAAATTATTTTTTATAGTAGGAGCATTTTAATCCTGTGAATAATGAATGTATTCTGCTGTTTTAAGATGATATATATATATATATATATATATATATATATATATATATATATATATATATATATATATATATATATATATATATATATTGCGCAATTTCTTGAACATTCTATATGTCTTCTGTATAGTGATAATTTAAGAGATTGTGGTTTACAGAAAATTAATTGCTTCAGATTTGTCAATAAAATGTATTAGACCTACAAAAAAACCTGTTGATCTTTGATGTTGTGGCACACCATAAGGAGAAATGAATTTATTTTCTGTCGGGGGAAGTTGTGCCTTAAGGTAATAAAACATATCCTGTAGACTGTACAATAAAACACCTGAAAGGTGAAAAAAAAAATTCAGAAGGCACTTTTTGTCAATTTGTGGCCATCACCCCTATTGAACGAAATCAGCCAATTATTTGCACTACCATAACCTTGATCAAAATACCCTAGCAACAAATCAGAGAATACACTTCAAAAAGTGAATTTTTATTTCCTTGTTTGATTTCAATTGCTGTCCGATTTATGACCTTGATTCTTTGACCTACATTTTGATGGCTCGAGGACCAGGTGAGTCATATTTTGGGCAGGAGGAACTCTTACTTGTTAACCATGTTAACATTTCCTTTTCACCTGTTCAAGTGTTTTCTCTTTTTTATAACGAACCTTTCAAAAGCTTTGAAATTTGGTTTTAGACAGTCATAAGATCTGGAGGACACTTCTGTCTGTGAGAAATTCCCTGTGTAAATATTTGGTCATGTTGAAGGGTTTCTTATATTCTACATCTGATGAAGTACTTTGTGTGTGCCTGAAATTTCTATAGTATTTACTTAAATTTATTTTTATTGGAGAAACATTGCTGAAAATAATTTAATGAAGAAATTGTGTATGGTTATGACTAGGCAAGGATTAGTGTGTGAATATATACAGGGGATAACATAATTTGATGTCAGATTTTAATATTTGGGATCCTTTGAAACAGTCACCCAAAGTTGCCCATTGTATTTAGATATTGTGCAGTTAACTAAACACTATTTTGGATTTTCATGGAACACGTACTTATAGTCTTGTATGATTACAATTACAAACCATTAATGAAACACTGACATAGTTCTTTTGGTGAAATTCAAAGGAGAATCTAAAATTTACATTTCTGAAATGCATAGCTTTAAAACTGAAACATTGATCTTTAAGCCCCAAGCAGTTTTAAATAAGCTGCATATTTTACAAAAAAAAAAAAACAAACAAACAAACAAACCAAAGGAGACTATTTGGATGTACTCCATTGTTGGAGTTCTTTTTACATATTTTACAATTTTATCAAACTGTAAATATGCTGTCATAATTTATTTTGGTCATTTGTTTGAAGTTGAGGAAACTTTAAGTAACATTTCTTCTTAAACATATTGGAAAATTTCTAATATAATCAATCTTTAAAATGCACACTTGAATCATCAAAGCTCTTTTTTTTTTCAATATATAGAGCTTCTAAATTACATTCATTTTTAAGAATGGTGCATAAACATTTACATACCACTCCAAAGCATTGATTTCTTTGAATGACATGTCAATGGAGGTGCAGGTAACTGAAGAAAATTCAATATGTTTCTGTTTATTTGTAATAAAGAGCTAGTAGATGTTGGCTTGCCAAAAAATCTCTTAATTCTTTGTAAAAAAAAACAAAAAAAAAAAAATGTGTCACAGTGTACTGTGTTGAAAGGAATTCTTTTCCTCTTTTCATATAAACTAGGAAGGTAGGAAGGTACATAAATGAAAGAATTTTATTTCATTAATTTTTCAAGTATGCCATGAATCAGAAATGTGAGTGACAATACAGATCCAGCCTGTGATTTACGTTGATATCTGAACAGAGGGAGAGGGTGAATTAAGTTTTTAGAACTTGTCCCCATTCCCATTGTATGTATTTATTATAATTCAATATGTTCTAATCAATCAACCTAATGAAATATTGACACATCTTAATGAGAAATCCTCTAAGGAATCACCTATAATATTTTACATACTCTTTGTAATACTCAGAATCTCTGGACAGTTAGGAGTCATTTAGGAATTATAATGATAGGGCTAAATTTAGAAAAATGGGGGGGGGGGGTTATACTAATTTATTTCCGAAGTTCTGTTTGTGTGAGGAGGAAATATTCCTATATCAATAGAATACGTGTAGAGCATAAATATTTGTACACTAAGATTATTAAAATATTACATTTTTAGTGAGTTTCGGATGGAATGAAACATGCACTTTGTACTAAATTATTAATTTTTTAACTGAATACTTTTTAATTAAAATTATTATATAATATGATTAATATGACATTTAGTCATTTACTGAAGAATTAGTATGGTCAGTTTTAGTCCTTCGTCAGTGAATATTGGACAATATGTGAACTACTTTATCAGTGTCAGATCTCTTCT